CCCAAACAAGTTGGGGTAGGCTAAATTGTAGTGCATTTCAAAATTTGAGGCAGAAAAATAGAAAAGTAGGCAGTTTTTCCGCAATAGCAGATTTATTTTGCTAGTGTTTTTCCTGCTGAATGAGAGATACAAAACCATAGGTACGACCAAACTCGCAGGCAGCAGAATGCTAGGCTAGTGAGATGTGAGATGGTGACTTTCATCTATGCACTACAGAAAATTCATTCTTGCTAATTGTATATAATTCATCTCAGAGCACCAGACCACATGTTCAACAGGATATAACGTAATTGGTTTACCATGATGTCTGAACCTGTTCCTATAGCTAAATTGCAATCCATTGAGATGCAACATTTTAGGCATACAAAATAAAGAACAAATAAGCAGCAAACGCTAGACCAAATATCAAGATTTCAGTTTCCTTTTAGAATAAAAAAATAAAAGTAAAAGCATCAACTTGCAAATTCTGAAAACACTGGATAGATAATGGCATTAAAAAACAGCAACATGGTAGGTTACCTGTGAAGGGTTTGTACTTGCAGATTCAGAAGGAGAAAATCCGCGCCTTAATTTGATTGTGTTGCTACCAAGCTTAGGACCTGTATCAAAGAGAAGCCAAGCTTCCCAAGTATCATCCTCTCCCGTAAAAAGAGCATGCAAATCCTGCACAATTTTTTTTTTTTGCTTGACTCCAAATTATCAATCTTCACTTTCTGAGGAAGCATTATCAGCATTACATACCGGTGTACTTCCTTGGAGATCAACCCTTGCTGCAAATAGGCCTGAAGGCTGAAATTTTCGACGATGCCAGACCTAGTTTTGACAACAACAGGGTGTTCAGCTGTTTTCTGAGCTAAAAATCAGATAAGGTAGTATGAGTACAGGGACGAAACTAACAGTGCAAGATGACTAGGGAGAAAGGTTCATGGTTTCATGCACAGTGTAGGTAACATCCCGTCATATGTAGTTATATCATTTTCCATCACAATCATGATGCCCATGGTTCAGAGCTATGTTCCCATCCCACTTTTGTCATCCCTTGTAGCACAAATCCAACTATCCAAAGATTCTTTAAACAGTTCAAGATTGAGTGCCCAGCCCATTGGATTAATAATTTAAAAATATTTGGATCTGGTGAGGCAAGCTTGGTTATCATTCCTAAAGCAAATGACTGTCCAAAAATCCTTAACAGTTATGGTGAATTAGCAATCCAGAAAATGCATGCTGATAGTCTTGGGCAAATGTCACTAAAGAATACTCCACAAAAGGTTTGTACCTGACAATTATACGCTAACTCAAGTTGTTCAGAGACATCCTCACGCAAGGGAATCCAATCAACGCCACCTTTGCGAGCAAACCAGTGGCCTCTCAAGACACGCCTGTTTTCACCGTTCCAGTACACAGGGAAGCAATGCCGCCTCATCAAATCAACCTGCAGAACAGTAGGTTGTTATGGAAACAACAAACTCTTAGATAGCATACTGAGAGTAGTCAACGATAATGGGTAGAATGCTTCCCAATGATCCATACATGATGATTCATTCTGGTAATGATAGAGCACACTAGGAAAGAGATTACAGACCTCATATAGTCCACCTTTCACAGGAACCCCAACCCGCTCTTCCTCCACCTTATAAAGATATGCAGAATCATCACTTTCAACCAAGGATCCTCTCGGTCCTGCACTGCATTCAGCGTACTCCCTCCACCAGTACGCAAGCAGCTCTTCCTCCCTCTACAAACAGTAACCAAATAACATGAATTTCGAGAAAGTTATTAAGAATGGATGCAGTTCTTCTTATACTGTATCAGATATGTTAAAAAAAGAGCAAAACAAGTCTAAAATAACAAATGCGCCAACATAGACTACTGTAGATAAATAAACACACGAAATTAAACAAAAAAGTAACCATCATGGATCAATTACCTGACGATGTTTATCAATTTTCAGATGAATAAGATGGTTTAATTTCTAACTAAACATTTAGGCATCCAAATGCGTGTTGAGATAGTAACCTCCAAGAAAGACGCCTCCAGTGCCAGAGAGTCCCTCTCGCTGAACCGGAAATAGTCTCCTTTCCCGACTATCTCTGTCCGTGGTACTGAAGAAGACAGCACTGCATCAACAATAAACCACATGCGATCGTTTAAGAGTCGAATCAGTAAACCTTTAACCTGAAGCATCGACAATGTGATACTTCAGGAGACCAATCAGCTGCAAGTCTACAATAATATTTTCAAAAAAAAAAAAAACAAGTCTACAATAATAGCAGGTGTGCTGAACTGTGTAGACATGCTCTGCTACTATTCAATTATAATTATAAATTATTCTAATTCCTAAAGCAGATAGACGTCACATGGGACTAAAATTGCAACCCCAATTTGCAGGTTCGGGACCGATCCTTTTGAAGCCTCCACATGAGTTATTAGCCCAGAATAGTAACTAGTTTTTGTGACATCTAAACCCCAAGCAGTTGGCATGTGCCATGGACCATGGTGGGTGAGCTGGTCGGAAGCAGCTAAGTACGTGGGGCCACTGATCACCTTGCGGAGCCGAAGCGCCGCATGAAACCGAAACGCCCAAGTCAAATACGGGCGAGGGGAGGGGAGGGGAGGGGAAGGGGATGGACGGGGGGCGGTGCACCTTTGTCAGCGAGGGGGAGCTTGCAGAAGTACCAGCGGACGTCCTTGCCGTCGGAGGGGCTGTTGGTGTGCGCGAGGTACTTGCGGCGCGCCGCGCAGTGCCCGATCGCGTCCTCCAGCCGCGCGATGTTGGAGGGCGTGTTCCGCAGCGAGTCCGGCGACGCGCCCTCCGCCTCCCCAGCGGGGCCCGGGCCCGCGGGCGCGCGGCTCGTCGACGCGTGCGCGTCCCCCGGGTTGCCAGCCCGCGCGCCCCAGCTCTCATCCGGGCCCGCCATGCGCGCCGCTCCCGGTTCGGGATCGCCGGCGGCGAGGAAAGGGGAGGAGTGGAGTCGGAGACGGGGAAGAGAGAAGGGTAGCGGGGCGGTGGGGGCGGCGAGGTGGGCCCCCACCTCAGGAAGAGAGAAGGGAAGTCACGGGACGGGACGGAGGGAATGTGCCGCCCGGGAGGCGAATCAGAAGAGCCCAACTGCAACTGCAACTGCAAGTCCGACCCCCATGGCCATGGGGAATTCGCCATGGGTGACTGGTCGGTCGGGCCAGTAGTTGTACCGAATCCGTTTTCTGTTTTTGATTTGATTTGAAAACGTGGAAAGTTCGAATTCGCAAGGTGCCTTTCAAATTTGGTTATCCTTGGCTACAACTTCTGTGCGATGAGTTTTTATATATTTATTAAAAAAACATGTAGAAATGACAGATGAGAGGATGCTTTCACAAATGACAAGCGCAACGAGATTTTATATATAAAATATAAAAAAAAAGGTAGAGATGAGAGAATTTCACAAATGACATAAGCCAACGTGCTTTCAGTGAGTTTTGAAAGCAAAGAAGACTTTGGATGGGACAAGCATCATTGACATGGAAGGATTTGCAATTTTTTACTTAAAGGAAATCATGTCTTATGTACTACTCCACCCATTTCAAACTATAAAGACGTTTGACCTTTTTTAGATATAATATATTATTTTACTAGATATAGTGGTAAAAGTAATTATGTATCTAAAAATGTTAAAATATCTTGTAATTTGGAATGAAGGAACCCAATTTCACCTCCAAGACCATTCAAAATCCACCTCCAACGGCAACCAATAAATGAAAGGAACCCAATTTCAGGCCTAGCTAAATTTGTCGCTTCTTGAGCTCACATTTACGTTGATGAATCATCACTCTATTCCATCATCACGCAAAAAAAACATGTTTATAGAACCTCCACGTGTAAAAAAAACACGTCATAGTTCCACATTTTGCTATCTTCTTCGTTGCCATCACATTACTCTTGCGGCGGCTCCTTCCGTTCTAGTCATCATTTGCCGTGATTAGCGTCACAAAAACAAATGTGGGGTGTCATTACTATATGTACAGAAAAAATATCCACAATCATTTTGGACTACCAATTAGTGAAGAATCTAGCTCCCCCCCCCCTTTTTTTTTTGCTTCCGATGAGTTTTACTGATTAATGACAGTTGGATGTGTAGCGCCTAAATGGCCTCTCCAAATGTTCTGATGTGCAACGCTCCTGTTAACCCGCCTCGTCGCTGTCTCGACTGCCACCACCACTTGTCAACCAGCCCTCCCAAACTATCGTTTATAGCCAGAGAGCACAAAAACTCCAATCCCCGACCTGAAACCTCAAAACCCTAACCTTGGTTAGGTACTGAATCTCGAGGTTGCTAGATTTGAGAGAGAGAGAGAGAGAGAGAGAGATGCGAGGAAGGGGAAGGGGGACGACGTGTTGATGGGTGAGTGCGACTTCATGAGCACAAGGAGACCGCACATTGAAGAATGAATAGGGTGTGCATATGAAACACTCATCACATGCACGTGCAAAAATAAGTTTTTTTCCTCTAAAAGTACATAAAATCAAATAGACCATATAGTGATGGCTCACATTGACGTCGACACGCTTAGAGGCTATTGGAATAGGACGACCTTATACTTCATATATACTATTATATATAGTATTCAGTATTGTATCCGCCAAATTTGAGGTATAGTCAAAATTAAACTATCTTAAATTAATTAAATCTACAATACAACTTTTTGAATGGAGGGAGTGCTTTACTTTGGTGTCACGTTATGGAGTAGCTTATAAATATTACAAATACGCTTTGACTTTCACCAACAAAACCAGCACAACATTGCACCAAAAAAAACAACACAACATTGAAATATGAGTACGTTTCTCTTCATATGACACGTACTATATGCAGCAAGAAACGCCCGTAGTTCCCGTTGTATATAAACGGGCTAGGACATCCACGGGCTGCATCTCGTCACCCGGAGGACATCCAAGCCGACCCGTGCTAAGAAAAAAAAAACGGGGCGGCGAAAACCCTCAAACCCTAATCCTTTCGTTCCCCATGGCGGACGCTGACGCCGCGCCGCCAACGCCGCCTCGGGAGGTTGTAGCCCCCGAGGAGCTTCCCACGGCCGCCGAATCCGCCGTCGCCGCGCAGGAGGAGGAGGAGGCCGCGACGGCCGAAGTCGATAACAAGCGGAAGCTGGAGGAGGTCAGCGCCGACGCGGAGGCGAACGGCACCGGCGAGGATGCCAAGCGCCCGCGCGTGGACGGCGAGCCCGACGCCGCCACAGGTGGATCTCTCAGTCCCCCCTTGTCTGGAATCTATGGTTTATTGCTGGCGCGTGCGCTTTTACTTCTAGATGAAGCTTGCGGCTCATCCGATTGATTGATTCGCTCGTTTCTCTCGATTGGGAGCAGGGGTTGAACAACAGAACGATGGGTCCTCCGTGAATGTGGAGGAGCCCGCAGCTGCGGAGGATAAGGTTGCTCCGACCGATGGGGCAGCGATGGATGGTGATAACGGCACGGCCGCTCCTGCTCCGGATTCGGCTTCTGATGAGAAGCCGCTTGAAGCAGCAGCTGAAGCTCCCCAGCAGGAAGGTGATGCAGCAACTGATGCACAGGAGATTTCTCGTAAGATCGAAGTGCCCAACAGCAAGGTATATTAATCCCAACAAGCTTGTTTACTGTCAGATTCTGCTTATATTATTAGCGAGGTCTTGCACGAATGTCGAAAACAAATGACAGAGAAGAACATTTACTGTAGAAACGACAATTTCTTTTTCATGTTGTTCAGTCTATTCAAATTGCGGGAATTCATGCAGGTTGGTGTCCTTATTGGAAAATCTGGTGAGACAATTAGGAACTTGCAATCGAGCTCGGGTGCACAGATCCAAATCACCAAGGACGCCGATGTGGACTCAAATGCCCTGACTCGGTCAGTTGAACTAGTTGGAACCCTTGGAAGTGTTGATAAAGCAGAGCAGCTTATTAAGAGTGTCATAGCTGAGGTACACTGAATATGTGCTGATTCCTTAATTTGAGTTGCCCTTTGAGCTATATTTTCACCTGCACGCTAGTTCTAAAATTTTCCTTGGATGCTCTACCCTCTATTCCAGGCTGAGGCTGGCGGTTCCCCTGCCTTAATAGCTAGAGGATTTGGAAGTGGACAGCCTGGATCAGAGCAATTTGAGATGACAGTTCCTGATAACAAGGTTCTTTCTTGGTGCTAACGATGTTGTTATAGTGTGCCATTTTATATGTTCAACCATTACCTTTATTTCATAGGTTGGTCTCATTATTGGAAAAGGGGGTGAGACAATTAAAGGCATGCAGACCAAATCTGGTGCTCGTATTCAGGTGGATATGTCACTTGTCATGGTGGCTTGCCATTATCAAACTTCTACAACTCATATATACTGAGAGGTCTAAGGAGATAACTTTGATTTTTTTTTGTAGTTAATACCCCAACATCCACCAGAGGGTGTTACATTGACTGAAAGAATTGTACGTGTTACTGGGAATAAGAAGCAGATTGAAGTTGTAAAGGATTTGATCAAGCAAGCTATGAATCAGGTGATGTGATCTTCCTTTGTCCTTTTTTTTGGGTAGTCGATTTGTGTTTTCATTGTTAAGTACTACTTTATGCTTTTGGTTGTTCATGCATTCTGTGATCTGATGGTTGCTGATGATGTGATCATGCTTCATGATTGATTTTTCTTGGTTCATGATATGGTTACTTTTGTGATGTAGATACCAAATTCAATGTTGTCTTCATGGTATTTTTTTTAACCCAAGACAAATTCGTGGCATGCCTATTGAGAACATGGCCTTATTACAATGCTATTATTGTCCGATTGGTTTCTTAGCTTTTGGGTTTCGTAATATGCCTGCTTTATCATTGCATGCAATTTGTACCATCTTTTCTGATCAAGCCAAACTTGAGATTTCTTGATAACCTTTGTAGCTGGTATAGTTGTCCCAAGTGTACTGATATTTGGGTTTCATAATATGCCTTGCATGCAATTCGTACCATCTTTCTGATCAAGCCAAGTTTGAGAATTTCCTGATAAGCTTTCTAGCTTGTATAGGTTTCCCAAGTGTACTGATATTTTTTGTTATAAACAAAAACAATTTGCTTCCGTACTTTGTTATTCATACTGTGAATATATTGCCATTTCTCTTGTTGGGGAGTGTTGGACCCTTGAATTTTAAGATTTGTTTTAAACTAATCACTCTTCTCTACTATTGGCCTTTTATGAAGTATCCATCTTGATATATAGCAGTGCCTAATTGGGCTGGAAGGTAAGTTCTTCTTCATGTTTGAGTTCTCATCTTCTGATGAAAGACAAACGCGACACCATTGCTTTCTCAAGATTAAGGATGTAAAATTTGTAAATCAGATTCATTACCTCAATGAATATTTCACTTCCTTTCCCTCGTCAAAATCCCTTATCCTGGGTGCTCTTATTTTCTCTTCTCATTTTTACTGGATCATGCATGCTTCCATTCCATACCTGTCCATTGGAGCAAAGTTCTTGAATTATTTATTTGTTAAATAATATGAATTATTGAAGAGTCAAAAAGAGTGCATACAATTCAGAAATGAACTTTTGAGCCGTAATACATAGCAAATGATTCGTCTGGGAGATCTGGATACTGATTGGATTCTTGATCCCATTAGCTTGACTATTCTTCGTAGGACATACACTGAGTAGGACTTTCCTCATCTATCACCCTTAACAATAAACATGGGCATGCTTAATTGAATTAAAATGGATCACAATGTGTCAATGTCCATGACTATAGCTCTGCAAGTGCTGTATTACCATACCAGCGGATTATCCAGTTGCTAGATAAGATATGATTCTGTTTCCTACATAAGCAGTCTGAACTGACACATCAAGTTCACTCGCTTCCAGTTTCCGTCAATGATTTTTGTTGAAGGTGCCAATTTGGAGTTGGTTGGGCATCGTAATGCAGATACAGCTAGCTTTCTTCATGGGGGTCATCGTTTACTTGCACCGAAGAGGGATATTGATCATTATCCCTTACCCTTGCATGGTTTATGTAGTTGGTAACTGGTAAGGCTGCCTATTGCCGAAAGGAAACAGAAACGGTATGGCATTGGAAGACTGCAACAAGTGTATCATTGCCATGACAAGGCTACTACATCACCATGTATAGGTTTGCTAAACTGAATTGTTTGTGACTGTATGTTGTCTTCAAAACACAACTTCCATATGCTATAGCTAAATGATTAAGGATTTACACATTGTTACTTATTTGGTATGACACTCTTAACTAGAGTTTGGGTTGCTTGGCGTTATTTTCCCCCCATTAGTAACGGTTGCTATTTGATAATGTGTGATGCGGTGCATTTAATCTCGATATTATTGTGTTCTCTATTGAAGCTGTTTATGCTTATGAGATGCACCTATATGTTAAATTCTGAAGTAACCCTTCTTTTTATTCTACATTTTTTGTTGCAATTTTTAATGATGGTTAACCAAGGGTATTGTTGATATTCCTATTGTATTAATGGTGTTGCATAATGTTGTGCACAGAAATTTGTGGAGATTTTGTTAACGGATTTCTTTATTAAACATTGTTTCTTGAACGATTTATTAGTGATTAATGCTGGACAGTGTTTAAGAAGTATGAGATATGAGCTACTATGCAGTCATATATATTCTTAATTAATGCTGTTCTTATTTAACTGCGATGTAGTCTGGCTGCCCCTTGATGGCTTCCTATTACCTTTGGCTTTATGTTAGTTTGTAGTGTCTGTTGTTTACTTCCCCTTTTGGTTTCTAACATGCTTTCTTGTACAGACATTTTCAAAGCATACAAACCAATCTGGCGGATATGGTCCACAAGGTTACCGCCCTCAGGGTCATGGTGCAGGTTCTCAGTGGGGGCCACGTTCTCAGAATCATGGCTATGGATACCCACCTAGAGGTATGCCTCCACCTCAAAACTACAACGCACCCTACGGTGGCTACCCGCCGCAGGGACCACCAAGAGGTGGCATGGGCTGGGACCAGAGGCAGGGCCCTCCACCCCATCCTTCGTACCAGGGTGGTGGTGGTTCTGACTACTACAAGCAGGGATCTCAGCCATATGATAGCCAGCCACCAAGCTACCCTCCTGGGCCAGGGAATTACAACAGTTATGGGCAATCCCAGGGTCCTAACTATGGCCAACCTCAGTATCCGCAACATGCGCCTCAACAGAACTACAGCCATGGGTATGGTGATCCTAGATACAATGCTCCCCCTCCGAACCAGCAGTACTATGGTCAGCCACCAATGGGCCCGCAGCAAGGCTATCCTCAACAGCCAGATCCCTATGCTAGGCCTCCATACGGTGGACCTGGACAATGGCCGCCCAGGGGTGCTCCGGCTGCAGATGGCTCCTACCAGGCGCCACCTGCATCTTATGGGCCGCCGTCTCAGCAGCCTCCTGCTTATGGGCAAACATACGGTGCAGCAACTGGACCTGATGGGTATGCGCAACAGGGTTACCCACAGCAGGGTGGGCCAGCACCAGCTCAATATGGTCAGAGTGCACCAGCAGCTCCAGGCTATCCTCAGCAAGGCACACAGCAAGGTAGCTATGTACATTACCCGCAGACCCAACCAGGATATGGTGATCAAGCAGCTCAAGCTAATGCGAACTATGGGTACCAGGGAGCTCCAGCAGATCCTAACTATGGAAGTGCGTACCCACAGCCAGGATATGGTCCTCCTGGTCAGGCAACTGGTCAGGCTGGTTATGCCTCCTCTGCGCCAGCAGCCGGCCAGCCTGCGTATGGCCAGGCAGGATACACACAGCCATCTACAAATCCTCCAAGTTATGATCAGTCTGCAGCACCAGCAGCGACTCAGAGCGGCTATGCTGCACCCCCTGCAAATCCACAGCAGCCTGCTGCAGCAAAAGGGGTCTCGCCACAGCCTGCTGCTGCTGGATATGGTGCTGGTGGGCAGTGGACAGCATGAGCCTCGTCTCTCAAACTTTGCTGACAGCAAGATCGTGTTGGATACCGCTTTTGGCGCCTGTTCCAGTGTTTGCATCTTTTGGATGTCTGTGGATGCATCGGGTAGGGTTTGACTTCGTTATCAAAAGAGATTGTAACCCCTTGAGTTTGTGATACTTGGCATCTCTGTAGTACCTACTAGTAGTTGGTTAATGTGACTTTAAACATCCTATTCAGTTTGAATGAAACCTTGTTTCGCTACTTTGCATCTTGTCTAGTAATATTTGGATCTGTGTTTACCCGAGTTATTTTTTATGTTCGACTTGCTCTTGCGCTGTTCCTGTAAACAAATATTGGTGTTTGGCTTTCTCTTACGTGGTTCATGGAATGATGGGTGGCCTTGCGAGTTGGCAATAATTATGTTTCCGGCTTGCTCTTGTGCTGTTCCTGTAAATTTGACTAAATTTTGACTTGGAGAGTCAAAATATCTCAATTTTGACTAAATTTGCGCTCTCGTTTCTATAAATAAAAATATTGGCGTTTGGCTTTCTGTTTCGTGGTTCATATTCATAGAATGATTGGTGCCCTTGCGAGTTGGCAATAATTCGGTTTATGCAGCGCAGTTATGCTGTTCGTCCAAACTCGGTGGGTTTGTTGGTATTTGATCCGACCGAATCATGTTAGTACAGTTAGCATGGGAATGGAAAAGCCTTAGCTTTGAAAATGCCGGTCTTTGTTTGAAATGAAAGATAAAAGTTTCATCATCTCTATATAATCATATAATAGTGGACCCAATTTGCATTCAACGATACTGCTGCTTTAGGTATGGAAGTAAGAATTCGTTCAGCTCTCATGCTGGGAGCACAATTTGCCTAATGATGTTGTAGATGGCCCAAAGGTATCCCTTAGGCTGCTGCTCCTCCGGCAGCCTCAGCATGTTCGCCACCTTCTCGAACTGTGCCTGCCCGAGTGCGGCGTCCGCCGGCGACGACTCTTCCTCCGACCGCGCGCCGGGTGCCCTGAGATCCTTGTGGAGCTCGGGCGGCGACAGCGCCCACTGCATGGCCCAGATGCCGAGCGGCCGCATGTAGTGCAGCGACCGGTAGCCGCCTTCCTCGGTCCACGCCTCGGGCGTCTGGAACGCGTACCCGAAGCCGTCCTTGCCCCAGGCGGCGTCGTGGGCGCCCTTGGCCGTCCGGAACGCGGCCTCGGGCATGCCCTCGTGGACCATGGCCGCCGCGACTGCGTACGTGACCCCGGGCCACACCTCCTTGGACTGCGCGGACGACGCGTCGACGGCGCCGTCGGGTCGCATCCCGTTCACGGCCCCGACGGCGCCGCCTTTCACCCTCATCACGTTGTAGTCCAGCACCGTCGCCAGCGCGCTCCGTGCCTTGGCGTCCTCCACCACGGGTTCCAGCCCGCACGCCCGCGCGTACCACTGCCCAGCCAGCTGGTCCGCCATGATGGACTCGCTGGTCGCGCCGCCGCTGTTGTCGTACCGGAAGTAAGCGCCATTCCAGAGCTCGGCGTCGTACACGCGCGCCGCCCTGTCGCGCCTCGCGCGGAAGTAGGCCTCGGCGTGGCGGTCCCCGACGACGCGCGCCATGCCCGCCGCCGCCTCCAGCGCCGCCACCCAGAGCCCGCCCGTGTAGGCGCTGACGCCGGAGACGGGCCACATGTCGTACGTCTGGTCGGGGATCCCTTCGTTCTCCACCATCCCGTCCCCGTCGCGGTCGAACTGGTCCATGTACGCCATGGCCATGTAAACCGCCGGCCACGCCGCCTCCGCGAACGCGGCGTCGCCCGTGGCCACGGCGTCGCGGTACACCTGGAGGACGAACTTGGGGTTGAGGTCCTTCCACCGCGCCGGGTCGTGCAGCATGTACGCGTTCATCTCCACCCAGGGGTCGTTGAGCCCGACGTCGTGCGGCACGGTGCCCAGCACCTTGCGCGGCGCGGTCCGGCCGTCGAAGGTGCGCCGCCGGCGTGGGTCGTGGAGGAGCACGGCGCGGGCGAAGTCGCGCTGCAGGCTCAGCTCCAGCGAAGGGAAGAGCGATAGCAGCGCGAAGGAGGCGTAGAAGTGCACGTCGTAGGTGTTGTACATGTTGTACTCCATGCCTTCCAGGTACAGGAACTGCCCCACGTTGTCCTCGCCGCCACGCAGCAGCGACGCGCCGAACGCCGCCGCCGCGGAGTGGGACCGCTCCGTCGCCGACGCCACCGCGCGCACGACGCCGTCCACCGCGCTGCCGCCTGCTGCGACTGGGAGGAGCGTGTCGATCGAGAACGGCTCTGACGAAGCGAAGCCCTCCTTCTTCGGAGGCTGTCCGTCTGTTGTAGCATAGTACCTCTTGTTATTCATCAATCATCAGTCCCCAGTTCAGCCAAGAACAAAAAAATTGGATTTTGTCTTCAGTGACTGACTAATCATTTGCTGTTCACAAAAAAAAATCATTTGTGACTGGATCATTAGCTCGGCGCAGTTATATTACCTGTCCAGATGGTGCCTCCAGCGTTGAGGTAGTAGAGCTCGTTGAACAGGGCAACTGGATACCTGATGATGACACCAAATGATTCAGCATTTCAGACCAAAAGCTGCATTGTCAGTTTTTGTTCATATTGTCATGACATTGATCTGACTGAAGTTCTTCTTACCATTCAGGTAGCCTTTTGTCATGCAAGATTGGTCGCTGCCACTCCTCGATCTGGGCCTCCCAGTTCATATGCTCTAGTCATACAGTGAATTCAAAATTCAAACAAGGGTCAAACAAAATGAAATTCTTTTGCAGGACGGTTCAGTCAGGAAAAGGTTCTAATTCTAACCAAGAAGAGCATCATGAGCCAGCTGCTCTGCAGCTGCGTCGGCATCAACGCCGTAGAACTTGGTGTATCTCCTGCCCCATCCACAACACGACTCCATGTCAGTGACAAGCCGCCGGCCAGCCATTGCAACAGGGTCAGCGAAGACGCGCGGCGCACTCACCTGTGGTACGTGCTTCCGGCGGGGAACTTGACGTCGGGGCACGCCCAGGCCAGCGAGAAGGACACCACCCGCGTCGCCCCAGCCGGCACGGCCGTCGACGCCGCCACCGCCGCGCCCACGGACGACCCGGCCTTCGACGCCGCCCTCGACGCGTTGCCGGCGCCGGCGTGCCCGAACGCGCCGTGCTGTTGCAGCAAACGCGTGTCAGCACTCAGCAGAGAACAGGATGTCTGGATCGATTGATGGACGGATCAGAGGTGAGGTGTCTACCTTCTTGATCTCGTCCCACATGTCCGCCGCCGAGAACTCGCCGGAGCTGGACGGGCCCATCGTGAAGGACGGGCAGACGCTGACGCGGACGCCGTCCGTCTCTTGGGATGCGATCGCAAACGTCACCGGAGGGTGCCCTCCCGCCGTCCTGCATTGGCGTCAGCGTCAGGGTCAAGCAATGGCATTTACACAACGGATATGCAGCGAAGATAGCGCCATGGAATATCAGATCAGACGCACCTGTGGTGGAGGAGAACGCCATGGACGCCGTCGTGCTCCCTGCAAACGACCAAGAAGAACACATTTGCAACAAGTAAGACGACAGTTTCGGTGATTCCTGTTACACTGAATTAGCAGGAGGTGAGAGTAATGTGATGCTGTTCATTACGTCATTTTGGAATTCACGTGGTTTCCTGTCAGTTCTGATTTCCCGCCAACTGAATTCTACAAGAAGATACAAGATGAAAAGTCAGGTCTTCTCCCAAATGTTTCATTCCATCCCCTTTGTGCTGAAAAGAACAAGCAAAGGCGGTGGCCTGCACTTACTGCCCAGGTGAAGAGCAGTGTCACATCTGCAGCTGTGCTCCCAGAGTTATGCACCTGAAATGCAGGCGTCAGCATTACTTATTATTTGTTAACATGATGCAACTCGATTTCAGTCATTGAATCTGTAGAAAAAACAGAAGGACAAGAAAACAAATTGTACCGTGAATGTGAACACCGCAGCTGGGAAGCTGCTCTCTATGTAGTTGTGTGGGATGAAGGGCGATATCTGACGGCAGGTGATCTTGATCTCAGGGTCAGGCTCACCTGCATCGCAATTTTCAAATGTCTTCATCTAACTGACATGGTTTGGTTAAAGTTACTACTCGGAAATTGAAATGCTGCAACTAACTTACCATCATATACTGTCCATGATCTTGGGAACAGGGCGTGGTAGGTGCATTTGTCCTCCTTCAGCTTCCAGTCCCAAGATCCAATACCGGCTTTATCGACTCCCCTGCAAATTAATTTTTTAACATGACCATGATATGTCCTGCCTATTCAAGTGCATAATATAAGTAACAATTTTAGGATTTCACTGCTCACTTGAGAAGATCAGCAGTCGGTGCTGACAATACCGTGGAGTACTTCTTCCCATTCTGGCGCGAAACAAACGCCTAGGTAACAAAACGTTGGCTATCAGAAGTTGTTTACAGTCGAGTGAGTGCAGCTGGGCATTGCAAAAATCATGAATGGAGTTACAGAATGGTTACCGAGAACTGATTTGCTAGGATAGGTTTCTCTTCATGCGTCACGGGGAATATCTGAAATTGCTGAAAGTACCCTCTGTAGCTTCTCCCTATGCTTCCTGCACTGATGAAATATAACGAAAGCCGGTTTGAAAAAACTGTCTGTCATCAGCTATAGGCAAATTTAAGGTGCTCAAATATTGAATTTAGCTTCTCTATGATTTATTATACATAGAAGGCTGAGGAAACTGACCCTATCCCACCGAGCGGTACACCGCGGTAGCAGTTGTCCATCCATTTCCTCAGAGGATCATAAGCATCAACCTTTTGGAAAAGCGATATTTTTTTTTTAAAAAAATAGTGACAGGACAGCATAATCTAAGTCATCTTTCAGCACTGAAACACAATCATAAAGCTGATCTCGGGGAAAAACAAACACAATCATAAAGTTTGGTGGTAAAGGGGGGTAACCCACTCGGCCTTTGGCGTGTTCTTCAATCCGCAGCTTCAGTATTTTGACAAACAAGGGCGCCTACAATGCCACCACAAACCGTTTGGTCAGTGTTGTCAACCTAGAAAAGGAATATGCACTTATTGTTCCACATGAATATAGTGTAATGTAACAGCTGTTTATTGATAATTGTTGGTATGAGTATGACTAAGCGTAATCAATCAGTTGCATCCTAGTATATATGAGAAGTACAGCTGCTATTTTCAGGTCAGTCAGTAGCAATTATGGCGATCATGACAGCTGAGCATTTGGCATTTTCCTCCTCCTAGGAAAATAGTATATATAGTAGGAAAGAGCCAGTATGACCACTTAAATTGGCACCTTGTATATAAAAGATAATAAAGCCCTTTGTTCAAAAACAATTGAAGCCAAACACAGTGTGTAACTTACAATTGCCATCAAGTCATTCATGGTCAAGCTGTACATGGCAACCTTCTTCCCTTCATCGTCGAATCTCCTCTGCCAAGTTCTTGCTGGTGGCTGTGAGCAGTCGATGCCCGAGAGCTGCTAGATAAACCAGGAAGGAACAGTCATGTCAGACTAGTAGTTTGGTTGCTGAGGATAGGATAGAGGTGGTTGGATTGGAGAAGATCGAGAATATCCTTGCAGATCATCCAAGGAACATCTCATCTCATGATGGGTAAGTTGTAGAGAAGAGATGAGAAAGTGCTTGAAAAAAAGGAATCCAAGAACACAAACTGTCAGTACCAAACAAACAAATGGATACGCCATAGCAACACAAAGGACGAAGAAGAGATGGCGGTAGGTTCTGAAGGAAAGATCCTACTACAGAGTACAGACACAGTTCAGAGAAGTGGTTGAGAAGGTTACCTTGGTCTGCTCCAACTCTTCACTTCCCATGCTGGTTGAAGATGAACAGCTATCAGGGATCTATCTGCAGCCAGTCACAAAGCACAAGAATCTGAATGCAGAGGGATCGTAGAAGGCAGCAGGCACACACAGGAGCCTCTGCCACATGGCAAGAAACAGCAAGCAAGCCTGAACGCAAGGCATCCATCCATGGCGATGGAGAGTAGGAATCATCATCCTTGAACAACAACAGACGAGGAAGGAAGAGAGCGATACCTGAGCCTGAAGAATGCCAGCGGCAGGAAAACCCGGAATCGCCGAGCACGAGCAGAGCTCTCGCAGAATTCAGAAAGGCGCCCGGCTTTGTGTGGGTGGGTTTTATATGTAATAAGACTGCCGGTCGTCAGGGAAAAGCAAAAACAGTGGACAGCACGGGGGTTCTCGTTCTCGTTGTTGGTGGCATCAGTTTCTTCGCGCGCGCTCTCTCTCTCTCTCTCTTCAGGTCCTGGTGTTTCTGGGAAGTAGAAAAGAAAAGTCGGCCGGCAATACGTCCCGTTGGTTTGGTTATAAGCTGTATTTTTTCAATCAATAAATAGTATTTTTCTCTTCTACCAAATCAGTCAGCCAAGCGAACAGGACAACAGTAATTAGCGAGCAGTCAGACGTCAAGGGGGTGCAGTTGGATTGGATAAGTAATGCTGTTTGTTTCTGAGTGTGCTGTACGTCGTGACACGACACGATGCTGTTTTTGTTTTGTCCTACTCCTAATTTCCTATTCCCTAAGGACGATTGGTATTTACCTGCAGGCTAACAACAGCCGCCGTGTATGCTAGATTTTTGTTTTCCTTGTCAAGAAATTCTTCAAGAGGCACCCATATGGTGACACGTGACTCGTCAGCCATTACCATTGAGACACCAGAATCAGAAGTAGAGCCGCCCTGTTAGTATACAGTTTCTCACAGAAGTGATTCCCGGAGAAAATAAGCTATACGGACGGAGTAAAATAGGGTGCAGAATAAACAGGTCTGACCTTAGCTTTTTTCTATTTGAAGAAGCTGCAGAAATAGAGAATGTATTGTTCGACGTACTGTTAGTACGTTGCAACTTGTTCTAGATATATTATATATAAGTATAGCTTATAAGCTGCACAAAATAAACCCAGTGTAGCTTATAAGCTATAGTTATATGTGAAGAATGTGAGTTGGAATAATGGGTACTAGGTGGTAGTAGTAAGCTGAAGAGGATAATAGAAAATGGAACTGAAGAAAGCGTCGTCCATGGCGGGCGAGCTGGCGACTCTTGACTCAGAGAACAGTACCAAAATAGTGTTCTGAAACCGTAGACCATGTATTAAATATATATAAGCGGTGGCCGCCAATATATATGTATATATATTTTAGAATCCACTATAGCAGCCAATGTGTATTTTTAGAGTGGTATGGTGCATGCAAGTCGTAGCACATGTTTTTGAGTTTTCCTAGTCGTCTTCCAGAAATACCAACGTAGGCATGCAGCCGGAGAAATGACAAACACACACACAGATACGACCTGTGACTGACGATGGAGTTGTTCGCTCCCTGAAGCAACTGCTGCTGCTTCAATTCCTCTTCCTCCGTCAAGTCTACGTGCCATCCATCTAGAAGAAGGAAAAGATGCTCACCATTTTCCATTCGGAAAAAGTCTACTTAACTCCCCACCTTTCATACTTGTCTACTTCACCCCCAAACTATGAAACCATCTGTTTTACCCCCTGAACTTTCTAAAACCGTCTATTTTACCCCCTAGGCGGTTTTCAGCGGCGGTTTTGCTAACAGTCTAACAGTGGTTTTGAATTTTCTTTTTTTTCGGTGAATTTTTGAAAAATCATAGTAAATCATAGAAAAATCATAAAATGAAAAATCTAATTTCGTTGGACTCCACATGAGTAGATCTACATAGTGAATATATAATACGGTATGCTTTAGTACAAAATTTTTACTGTAGCCTTAGATTAATTGGAAAATCTAATTAATTACAGACAAAATTGGATTTTCCAATTAATCTAAAGCTACAAAAAAAAATTGTACTAAAGCATACCGTATTATATATTCACTGTGTAGATCTACTCATGTGGAATCCAATAAAATTAGATTTTTTATTTTATAATTTTTCTATGATTTACTATGATTTTTCAAAAATTCACCGAAAATAAATAAAAAAGGGAAATCAAAACACTGTTACTGTAGCAACCCGCTGTTACTGTAGCAAACGGCCGCTGAAAACCGCCCAGGGGGTAAAATAGACGGTTTTAGAAAGTTCAGGGGGGTAAAACAGACGGTTTCATAGTTGGGGGTGAAGTAGACCAAGTATGAAAGGTGGAGGGGTTAAGTAGACTTTTTCCTTTTCCATTCCATCTCGATCATATCCCACCATGCACTGCGTCAGAATAACACTTCACCGTCGATTCAAAATACCCTATCACTGTCGGATTTTGAATCGGCACAACTATACCGGCAGTGATGAGGGTCTGCTATCACTGTCAGTTCCTATAAACCGGCAGTGTTCTTCAACTTCACTGCGGGTTCTTTACACAACCGGCATAGTTCAGTTCCACCAACACTGTCGGTTCATAAGACCACCCGGCATAGTTCAGTTCCATCAATACTGTCGGTTTGTGTTTTAACCGGCAGTGTTGTCGTAACCATCACTGCCGGTTTGTGATAAGAACCGACAGTGATGGCTAAGCTAACGCTGTCGATTTGTGGCTCAAGCCAGCAGTGCCATCTTGGCCATCACTGTTGGTTTGTTGCTAACCGGCAGTAATGGTTACGACAACATTGCTGGTTTATTGCTAACCGGCAGTGATGGCCCGTTCGCATTTTATTGTTTTATAATTTATTTTAATTTATATTTTTTCGTGGAATCAGATTTCGCTTTATATACGCTACGTAGACGACATGTCCATCAATATTAAACATTACAAATATTACGGTTGCAGTTTAAATGTTCTTATCAAAATCTTGATCCCTCAAAATAAAAAAAATTATTCAATAAGATGAAGCATGCTTCTCAGACTTCTTACAATAATCTAGCGAGCCGCTCTGAGCCATACTGGTCCTTGAACTTCACGGATTGTGCAATGAAAAATACTCCATCTTTTTTCAATACCTCGGCTAAGATGAATTTTGCCAGCTCCGATTGCAGTGCAACGATATCCATGTCTAACAGTCTTTCGTGGTTATATTTCTTGCGCTGTCGTTCAAAAAAGATGATATCCAAAGATGAATCAGTAAATCATTTTATTGAATTATTAACAGACATAAATAAAATGGGGATTATACACACCAACTTATCTGTTTCTTCCGATTTTCAGCCGATGTAGCGAAGCATTGCCCACATTACATAAAACACGCATTCATTGTTTCCCGCCGGTTGTTTTAGGTATTTTCCCTCCATTTTGACAACCTTGAATGGAACCTGCGTCCCACCGATATGTCTTCTTCTGACACTGTGCAACATTAAAAGGAGAAACATTAGAAAACGGTATGTGTGACTAGAAAATAATATGTTATTAGGATCGCTTACTAATTCAGCACTGCCACCGGTGCATCCAGATGATGAAATGGTTTTTTCTTCAAATCCCACACCTCGATCAGATTTTTAGCAAGATTAACACAAATGAAGACGAAATGGTTGCTGCAATCACATAATCCTAATTATCGAATAATCTTAACAAAAAAAAAGAAGCATAAAATTAAAAACCGAGAACACATACTCGCAGTTGTAGGCTAGAAGTGTGTGGATTTTGTTCTTCATCTTGAATTCATCGAAAACAACAATCAATCTCTCTTTTAGGTCCTCCGCGTCGCATCCATGGAGGCCTAAATATGTCTTCTCATTGACTCGTAAGGGGTCTAAGAAGCCTATGTTATCCCATTTGCTTTTTAGTATGCAAAATTTTGCTATACACCTACGTAAAATCATGGGAATTGCTCAAAAGTTAATAATTTGTGTGTCGAGGGAGTAGTTAATTATGATATCGTGCATGTAGGGTACTTACATAGTCCACAATGTCAACATTTGTGAATCGAGAGAGCGTTTCTGGAATAGCCGGAACAAGCACTCGCACTCAACATCGAACTTCTCTTCTTCAGGATAATAAAAAACATGTGGCGAACGGATAATAACCTCAAAACCAAAGTCTTTCGTCTCTGTTGCTTGAGCCATGTAATATTTATGCAACTGGCGCATATATGTTGTCAAATTTTTATACTCGTCATCGGGAACCAAAAGATTGCCCTTTTCATACTTCATTGCCGGTGTTCCTGTCCCTTATACATCATAATAGATGTTCACGACCTCTTCCATGGTTAATTCGGGGTTGTCTTCGACATAATTCTGTATCTTCCTTAAATCTTCATTGTGTATTTCATCAGCTCTTATTGTAGCATACTGATTCTATGTTTGCCTTTTGAATTCGGACTTCAACAAACACGGAGGTAGTGAGGCACAGAGATTGAAGAAACTAACACAATCTTTCTTCGATATGTGTGCTGTAAATTTTTCTTCAATCAAGTTTATAATGCTGCCACTGAACAACCTTTTTGTTTTTTGTTGGCCACTTTGGGAGCATTAGCGACCGAATCCAAGGACCTTTTCTGCGACTGCGAGGATGTCATCTTGTTTTGGGCTGAGGTGGAGGAGGAGGAGGAGGATGACGATGAGAATTCTGTTTTCCCAGGGTTGATGAAGATGGAGGAGGAGGAGGAGTCTTCTCTTTTCTCGAGGCTGATGAAGATAGAGTCGGACAAGGAGGAATAGAAGGAGACCTCTGTCTTCTCGGAGGTGATGGCAATGGATGATGAGGGGAGTGATCTCTGTTGGGAGATGGTGAATGATCATCGCGGGTGGGCGAAGACTCGTAGTCATCCTCATCATCAAAGGACAATTGGTGATCAAGCTTAATGAAGCGCTTGCGCCAGGGCACTTGAGAGCCCTTGTTATAACCAAGTTTCGGCATGTCTTCCGCTGCGGAGTACTCAATGTGTATCTTGTTATACTTCTTATCAAGTATTCTATCAATGGTGACACAAGCGTACCCCTGTGGAATTGGACGGCCATTAATGGTCCCGTCTCCCGTAGGTCAGGCCTGGCCGAGCGCCACCTTGTCCTTTGTCCATTCCTGCCGGATGTACAACTTGACATTGACGGGTTCAGTGATGCCGTCCACCGGATGAGGCACATTCGCATCTTCTTCGTCGAGCGGGGTCGATCTGCAGCTGCTGTGATCCCTAAACTATAGGCTAAAGGCAGTAGGAGTAGGGTTTTGTGGTACTCCTGACCCCTTGGACAGCAAAATTTGTTGGACTCATGCTTCAACAGTCGCCTCAATCCGTGCGTCCATTCTGTCTTCCATCTCTTTTAGTCACCTCACACACTCTGCCTCCTGATCCGCTCTACCCCTCGAGCGGCTCCGGTAAGTTTTAGATTCTTCGGGGAATGCTAGTTTCCAAGGAACAACACCGGTTCCTCTACTGCATTGTCCCCCTTCCCAAGGACAACCTCTAGTTTGTTGAGTTCTCGAAGTATCGCAGGCCCGTCTCGATATTTTGGAGCTAAACGTTTCTCAATAGTACCGTTGAAATCTTTTTTATTCCTGCGGTAAGGGTGATCTTTAGGTAGGAACCTACGGTTTCCCATAGAAACTATTTTTGAGTTATTTGATAGATTTACCGCATCGGTGTCGTCCAAGCACTCGACACATCCAGTATAGCCTTTTGTCTTCTCTCCGGACAATGAACATCGACCTGGCAGGTCGATGATTGTAGCAACAAGTACTCCCTTGATCATGACATGTTCCTTTTTGTACTCGTCCCAAATATCTGGCACACCCTTTTCAAACATCTCCACTAGTTCATCGATC